CGGCAGAACATGAACACCCCCCCCCCCCCCTCCCCCAATTATCGTTCTAGCTACGGCCCTGGATTGAACGAATTAATCTAAATGTTAGTAAGCTTTTAGAGTACAAGCGGAGAACGCTTGATTACTCCTCAAAGCAAAGAAGAGACTAGCCACAACTCAAGAACATCAGAAAGAACGAAGCAGGGACGATCACATTCATTTAAGTATCCATTTGCAGTAGCATGCTTGATTTAGCGGTGACCAGCAACGCGCTAATGAAAAGACTAAAACATAAGTAGTGTGCACAATCCATACCTTACAGTGAGCTTATCGCTACCAAGCATGGCCGTGTGATGTCCAGTCTTTTTGTCCCATTTACCATGGAGATCATACGCCATCAGATTAATCCAATCCAGGCTCTTCGCAATCTTATCGACTTCATAACCTGCATCAATCTGCTTGTGGCCAGCTGGAACTGCGGCCGTCAACAATAAGCGCTCCTTACCAGACTCCGCAGCTTCTTTTTTGAAGGCGGCCAAAAGCTCATCGCAGAGCGCGGTGTATCGTTGTTTATCTCCCGGGGGTGAATTTCCCCGACCGGCTGGATATTCCCAATCCAAGTCGAAACCGTCGAAGCCGTTTTTGCGAAGGAATGCGATTGATGAATCGATGAAAATCTTACGATTCTGGGCCGTCTTCACCATGGGCGAGAATTTTCCCAATCCATTCTCATGATTCCAGCCACCGACCGCAAGCAATAATTTAAGATGTGGGTTTTTCTGAAACAGAAACGAAACATGAATTATTCGATGTAAAAGTTTCTAAATGTAGACCTCATTATAGATACGCTAAATTGCATTGGGATAAACCCTGAGAAACTAAAATATATATGAGTTACACTGATTAAAAACTAATAATTATAATGAAAATTTGCAAAATTGCATTCCCCCCCCCCATTAAAGTGGGGCTAGCGAGACCCCTGGACCTTCGAAATCCGACATTACATTGCTTTCTACGCCCTTGCACTTCATTTTACCCTAATGCTTCTCTCTCGACAGTTTTTGATAAAATAACAGAATACTCAACTCGTTTAATTTCAGCGAATCTCACAAACATCTTGTCGTCATTCCACTCGTACGGCTGCAAGGTGTAGCCGTTGCCAATCTTCGCAAACGCGTAGATAATGTGAGTGCACAAAGACGCATCCACATTCTCTGGGAAATACTTCATCGGTGCAGGCCTATACTGGGACCAGTTTGTGTAGTAACATACACGGAAATGCTCTCCAGCGCTTGCCAAGGACACGCACGCGAACAGGAAAAGATAGAGGAACGACATTTTGATGTGATCGTTATCACCCTATAACCACTGAAAAACGAAAAACGATTAGAAACCGCGCTTTGGGTGTCTTCAATACATAGTGCCGCTCGTTCGTTGTCAGGGAATTAAACGCTGGTGAAAATTATTAAGAGCAAAAAAATTGGAAGTTTTAATTGAAATTCCTAGAATTAGCAATTCTATAGAAAACGTGGCGGTTACTAAATTTTCGGTTTCTAGAAACGACACTATAGCCAGAGGCACAGTTTTTGAAATGTATAGTCACCAAATTGTGTGTACTAAATTAAAAATAGAATTGACCCGCTTCGGTTTAATTCTGCCATTTATATATGCACAAATTGAATTTTAATTCGCACAACGCGTGAAAAGGATCTATATTGCGACTTTAACAGAACAGTTAAAAAAGAGTCGATGAATTATTGTAGTTTCGAAATGAACTAGGGCTAGTATTCCAAAGTCGTATAGGTTTGATTCCCACCGTGGTCAGGCATATATTTTTCAAGCTTACCCGGTGTGGATATACACTCAGAGTAACATCACAAGCATAACACTATGATTTTATATGTATATAACCATAAACTTACCAGGTACAATTGATGCAGATTCTTCGTCAGCTGTAAACCTCGATTAACTTTGACTATAGTTTACACCAAAATTTTGTCAGGCACTTTGACCAGTTGACACTGAGCAGACTGTAGCTTTTTAGGCTCTGCCAATTTCAACCAAATTGATCACGTATATATATACTCTTGGCACCTGACCCAGGAACATAACCAGGGGATGTTAAATAATTTGGTTTTTTTTGCACTCAAAAACGCACGTCTCTTCAAACAATCAGGATAAGGCTCGGAAAGGGCATGTCTTTCACATTTTTAAAATTTTATTCAGTAGCATTACCATACGTATTGCTTAAGAGGCTGCTTCGTAAAAACCTCCAGGTCAATATGTCTCGCTAAGTCTCAATGAGGGCTTTTTCCCCACACAGTTACGCGTACATAAAGACCATGCATGTTGTGCTAGCTGACTTTTATAAGATGGATGTCGAGAATGCGAGAGGATAATTATGAGAAAGCAGGCAGATGTAGCTTTTTCATCAAGGATGACTTTTCACTAATGATTAAAAGAGCCCATCACATCTGGAAATATTGCTTCACTATACCGGGGCAAGCAAGGGCTTACTGGAGTAAATGCCCCAGTAGTTATAGGCCTATATAGTTAAAAAATGCCTTGTCAATAATAGATTTCTCTCATACACTAGTATTTTTAAGATCTATCCTTGGAAACAACTAAAATCGATTTCACTTTACTCAAGTTTCCTTGAAATTATTTTTGGGGGGCAATTGATGTTCGATTAGCTGGTAACCAACTTGAACTCCGAACGAAGGCAAAATATCGACATATTTTAATTCACCGCTACTTTTTAGATCAAATTCATACCTAAATTTTAAATTTTTTGCTCAGAACTTATCCTTCTATTTTCGTTGGTGATATGACCTAGATAATTATTCTTTGGTATAAAATAAAAAACAGAGCGGTTAGGCTAATGACCTTCCTGCCAGGATAACGGATATCATCTCAAAATATAAAAAAGCTTATTTCCAAATTGTGGCACTTGATTGGCAAATAACCTTAGTTTTTCTAGAAACTACTAACATTAGTCAACACAAATCGCCTATAATTTCTTTCCGCTATACCATTTGACAAAAATGACAAGCGCGCAAACTTTGTAAAATCTGAAAATTTGTCGAATTCGAGCATACTTTATCGGTAAACTTAATTATTGATATTAAGACAGATAAAACCACCTTACACTAGACTGAATAAAACTTGATTATATCAATATTTGTCTTTCATCATTATTCTTTGGTTTTGCACTTGAAAAAAATTGTTTGAGTACAGTTTGGCTTCAAGGATAGCGTCATTCAATGCCAGTGTGCCCAGTGGCTTTTGCGCGCTTCAATAATGAGTAATTTCAGATAAATTTCCAGCAGATTTTCAGGTAAATTCAGGTAATTCTCAGGGCATAAAAAATTAACTCTGTGCTCTGAATCAGAATTAGAGTTTATAACAATCGACCAAATAAGTAATTAAAGACGTTCAGACGCGTCGTGGCCTAGGGGGGCATGGCCAAACATACCATTTCTGACGATCTGGAGACTCCGAATTTCCAAAATTTTCTCAATTTTCCTAGCCACATTAAACTGTAAGTAACACTGTCATGTTGATCAGTAGTTATTTTACATATCTTCATTGTTAGGCAGCACTAAAACATTGAAATCTTGGGTAGGAAAGACTCTAAAGCCCCGTTTACACTATGACGCTCAATTTTTGGTAGTCCAAGAGCCAAAAAAGGGGTATATGGTACCAAAAATCGAGCGTAGTGTAAACGGGGCTTAAAAATGCCATTTCCGACGGTCTAGGCTCGGCGCCAATTATGGTTTCTCACATAAGTAATATACTGTCATATTGATCAGTAGCCATTTTACTTATTATCTTCATTGTTAGGCAAATATTGAAATCTTGGAATTGAATTCTAATTTTCAGAACCTTTCTACTTCTTACTGAAAAAAAGAATAACATTAAATATAATATTATTTACAATGGCAATGACAATGAGAAATAATAATTCTTGAAGCTTGACCTGATTGGATTTCTTCATTTTCGCACGCCAAAGATTTACGCCAGGAAAAGTACAACTTATTATTACTTATTATTTAAATTTGTCACAATATTTACTAAGACACTGATAAACAATATATATAACATGCTACAGACAATACACGTGACTGGAATGTGGAACAGGACTTATACATCCCAATTAATACCTCACCCCATGACTTAGAAATTCCTTTGTGCTATACGCCAAGTGGCTATGCTTTCCGCCAGAGATCTTGAGCTGATGGGTATCGGAATCCAATCAGGAAGCTTGGCCTTGGCTTGAGCAAGAACCGTGATTGATTTGAATTCTAGTTTCATTGATAATTGTTTCTAATATAAACCCAGAGACATTTCAGTTGCTGGGTATCGGAATCCAATCAGGAAGCTTGGCCTTGGCTTCAGCAAGAACCGTGACTGATTTGAATTCTAGTTTCATTGCTAATTGTTTCTAATATAAACCCAGAGACATTTCAGTTGCTATAGAAAACTATCCTGAGCGAAACTATAAATAAACGTAAATAAACCGATAAAAATTCTGTCTGTAGTATGACCAATTCTGAGTTTTCTAATTTCTTTGAGACATTTTATTTTAATACAAGAGAAACAAAGCGAACAGAGAGAAGTTCGTATGTCACAATTAAATCGGGCAAACAGAAGGAAAAAACTCACCATATCGAGGGGCAATTCCATTTTGCCTTCATATTGTGCTCTGATGACTAGTAAGTACGTTTCTGAATGTTGGCCGCGTTAAAATTTCTTATGGGCTCCTGCCGACACGTTTTTCTTCGAATGTTGTATTAAACTCTATTACTCAGTTAAAAAATGTAAAATTTCAACTACATTTCTAACATAAATGACTTGCATCATTCGAAAGCTTGCAAAAAACTACATATAACACATTTAAACGGTTACCCGGGTTTTTCAAGTTCTTGTTGAGTTATGAGCTGTTGAAAGCGTATTTTCAGACTAGTACCCAGGAATTTTGCGAGATTTTGGCTTATTTTTCACATTTGAAGCGGCAATAACTCGAAAACCGCTTGAAAATCGCAATTATCCATTTAAATGTCTTATATGTAGTTTTTTGTTAGCTGTCTATTGATGTGATGTAAATTTGAAATTTCACATTTTTTAACTGTAATAGAGTTTAATACAACATTCGAAGAAAAACGTGTCGGCAGGATCCCACAAGAAATTTTAACGCGGCCAACATTCAGAAACGTACTTACTACCCATCAGGGCCCAATTTGAACGCAAAATGGAATTGCCCCTCGATATGGTGAGTTTTCCATAATTTTGATCCTCTATCTGCCTGACGCGCTTCAATAATGAGTAATTTCAGATAAATTTCCAGCAGATTTTCAGGTAAATTCAGGTAATTCTCAGGGCATAAAAAATTAACTCTGTGCTCTGAATCAGAATTAGAGTTTATAACAATCGACCAAATAAGTAATTAAAGACGTTCAGACGCGTCGTGGCCTAGGGGGACATGGCCAAACATACCCTTTCTGACGATCTGGAGACTCCGAATTTCCAAAATTTTCTCAATTTTCCTAGCCACATTAAACTGTAAGTAACACTGTCATGTTGATCAGTAGTTATTTTACATATCTTCATTGTTAGGCAGCACTAAAACATTGAAATCTTGGGTAGGAAAGACTCTAAAGCCCCGTTTACACTATGACGCTCAATTTTTGGTAGTCCAAGAGCCAAAAAAGGGGTATATGCATGGTACCAAAAAGCGAGCGTAGTGTAAACGGGACTTAAAAATGCCATTTCCGACGGTCTAGAAATTTCAAATTTTCAAAATTTTTTGCTCGGCGCCAATTATGGTTTCTCACATAAGTAATATACTGTCATATTGATCAGTAGCCATTTTACTTATTATCTTCATTGTTAGGCAATACTAAAATATTGAAATCTTGGAATTGAATTCTAATTTTGAGAACCTTTCTACTTCTTATACTGAAAAAAGAATAACATTAAATATAATATTATTTACAATGGCAATGACAATGAGAAATAATAATTCTTGAAGCTTGACCTGATTGGATTTCTTCATTTTCGCACGCCAAAGATTTACGCCAGGAAAAGTACAACTTATTATTACTTATTATTTAAATTTGTCACAATATTTACTAAGACACTGATAAACAATATATATAACATGCTACAGACAATACACGTGACTGGAATGTGGAACAGGACTTATACATCCCAATTAATACCTCACCCCATGACTTAGAAATTCCTTTGTGCTATACGCCAAGTGGCTATGCTTTCCGCCAGAGATCTTGAGCTGATGGGTATCGGAATCCAATCAGGAAGCTTGGCCTTGGCTTGAG